TCCTGTGATGCTGCTCCCCCCTGCACCAGCAACCCTGAATTGAGCAGGTGGTCATTTCATCCTGGCAAACAACGGGAAACCGAACAGTTAGAAACACCTGTGGGGCCATGACAAATTGCAAAATAACAAACAAGCGAACGGGAGGAAATGTGCATACAAAAAAAATTTTCTCCTGGCATATTGTCAATAAGCTGCAATTTTTCCTTCCACAGGGAAGGGATTTAAGTTCTTGAATGATATGGTGCTTGGAGATGTCATTTCTTTTTCATTAAAAAAAACCCCAATGAACCAAAATTTCCAACCCCAATCTCACAAACTGGTATTAACAAAACAAGGTAAAGGGACAAATCTCCCAACAATGACAACCAAAAAATAAAGGTACACGTCAGCATTTGTAATCAAAAACTACTACATACTGTACTTGGGAAGTCTTCTGGGAAAAGATCATTGGCATCTAGTGAGGACATCACTAAAAGTCTTGTGCATATGATATGTATGAGACAATGATGCCATCGGAGGGCGGATGGACGGACCCTTAGGAAACTGTCACTCACAAAACTTCCATGACAAAAGAAAATAAGAGATGTAAAAAGGATTGGTTTTCCCCATCCCCACCCCCCAAAGCGTTACAGATTCCTTCTCATTTGTCGGAAACAGCCTCTTCTAGTCTCAGTTTATTTGTTTTTTTTAAAAAAAAAGTCTTCAGCTTTTGAAGAAGTCCATCAATTTCTGAGATGCACATGGTTCCACAGCACCAGAGCTTCAGCTCTCTCTCCCCTTTGATTTGCTAACAGGGGCTTTGGGGAAGGACTGCTGGCTGCAGGACGTTCCCAGAGCCACTATCCCAGGCGACAAATAGAAGTGCTTCTCGTGAACTTTCTTTGCATTCATCTTGAAAAAGTCTCGTTGCTCCAGAGGTGCCTGGACCCAGCTGCAGCAGCCTTGTGCAAGAGGAAACAGATGAAGCTGCTCTTTTCTCTTCCTTTGGAGACTCCCACTGGCCTTGGAGCCCTTTTCAAGAATGCAATTGCTTTATTATTATTTAAAAATATTTCATAGGTTTGTTTTTGTTTTTCAAAATAGTTGTCTTTTTTTTGTTCCCTTTTTCCATTGCTTGAATTCTAGAAGCTTTTGGCGACTTCTCATTATTGGTGACAGGGTGTTTCTTCCTGTTGCCGTGATCCTCAGAGCAGCTGCCCGTCTCTGGTCCACGCAGAACACTCAAGAACTGGAGCTTGGACATACAGGGGCAAAGGGGAGCAGGGCCTCAAGGAAGAGGAGTAGGAGGACACGTAGCTATCAAACCTCCACAGACTGAATTTGGTTCATCTGTGCTCTCATCACCTGGATACTGTTCAGAATTTTCTTCTGGTGTCCTGCTAAAGTGACCCCAACTCGCAGAATGTCCCTTTGGGAGGAAAAGAAACAAACACCACATGAATACCAGAAGACATTTCCGTACAGCAGAACAAGCCCATGGTGTGCCTCCATGGAGCTGAAGGCTCCACAAATTTACTCCATAAATGCACAAATGTATGTGAACCTGGTGAAACCTCTGCTCCTTCTCTTTGACTCTTCCTGGCTTATCCTCCCAATTTTTGCATTCGCTACCTACCTGCAGCACCCTTTAGAGTACTGGAAGCCTCAGTAGAGTGTGTGAAACCAAATACCACAGGCTCTGCTCGTTGCCTTAGGTTTTCTATGCCTGCATTGTTCTGTTCCTTCCTTTGCATGTTTGGGTTCTCTCTCTCGTTTTGTGACACAGTAACCCATTTTTTCCATCCCTGGGGACATATGCACAGGATGTGCTACCCCCTCATCAGTACGACTCAATCCCCCCGTGCAGATGATGGCTGTTCTTGCTACTTTTGCTTTGAGCTGATGAGGCCATGAAGCCATAAACTTTTGCTAGTTACCTTCTTTGCTAAATCATGTCAGTTTAAGTTTTGCATTCCTTCTACTTCTCTGAGAAAAAGAGAGGTCATGCCAAGAGCATGAGTGTGATTCTGTGTTGGTCCGCTCTGTAATCACCCCAGCTGAGTTTGCTACTCATCTCCCTCTTGGTGGATAAACCTCAGTCATGAATTTTTCAGACCAGGGAACTGATGGCGTTCATGAGGCATGACCCATACCTGACTCTAAGGATTTCCAGTTGCCTTTTCTCCTTCCTTGAGTGTTAGGAACAGACTTCTAAGAGGAAGTATGGCAAAAACCTTGCTTGTTTTAGAGTCGAAGTCAATGGGCAAGGAAGGGTAAACACGAGCTCCAAGGAAAGGTGGAAAAAATCCTCTAGCACAGGTGGCCCATGAGCCTGTATGTTTGCTTTAGAGCTTGCTTTAGACCTTGTCTCTTTGGTCAAACAATAGGAGCACAAAGAAGGAAAGCTGGGCATGGGGCTATGCCACAAATCTACACATTCTGACTGGTGGTAACTGACTGGAGGCCACCACTGGAGCATGTTCAGCCCATGCCCTCTGAGATTGGTGTGAGAGGGAACACCCAAGCCGCAGCTTTGCTGCCGCCCAGGCTCCTGCTCAGCAAAGCAAATGGAAACCTGCTAGTGTGCTACACAACTCTGGCACCCAGGATGGTGTCCTTTACGGTGACTATTCTTACTGCAAGGGCTTTCCCTTCCCTCCTCTGCCCCAGCCACATGTGCTGAGCTAGGGAATTTTCCTCCTTGGATGAGTTTGGCACTTTGACATTTGCTTTTGTTCTGATTGGGAACAAAGCCCAAAGCCTTCACTCATGTCTGTAAACCAGAATAAGATTGCGGCCCTGCACAGCCAGTCCTGTGCTTCCTAAGCTTTCTGCCCTGGGCATAGATCCTTTGGTGGCCCAGGTGGCCCAGCCTGCAGACAAACCGGTAAGAAACCTTTCAAGTAGGTCAGTGTTGAAACCGTGTGGATTTGGTGAACTGAAGCAGTCTTCAGCAAACATTTACGCTTTGCTGGCTATCCACTTTTGAAGCAAGCAGTGTCTCATGGCAATTCAGCTCCACTTACGTGATTATCTACTTCTGCAAAGACCAGAGAACACTAGAAGCTGGTTTCAAGTCATGTTGCAGCATCATTTCCCAAGGCAAAAAGGACTTGGAGCATCCTTCTCTCTATTATCATGCCCAGCAAAGCAGGTAAGAAATGTGGAAGGGAGGTTTGCCACAACTGGTGGGAACATAAGCTGAGGATACCCTTGTGATTGTGATGAAGTCCCTCAGAGAGGACGTGGAAGATATTGTGAGGGACATGGTAAGGAACTGGATGAAGTGACATTTAAGGGACACTGAGCATGTCCGTAAAAAAAGAGACTTCATTAGGTGAACTGCCTGCAGAACTGCTTGGCTGTCGCGTATATTTCGAATAGCACAACCTAGGCAGGGTTGGGCTGTGGTGTGGGTGTGATGTCCCAGTTTGGTCAGAGTTCTTCTTCCCTATCCTTCAGGTTTTATGGACCCTCCTTCTGTTGCATGCACACAGCACATAGTGCGCCACAACCATTCCCAGGGCCTTGGGACTCTACCACAGATGTACCGAGGCAGTCAGAATTGCCGTGTGAATTTCCTGGCAGCAAATAAGAACAAAAAGCCAGAAAAGGTCAGTTGGGCTGTTTGCGTGAATGGATTCTGATTCACTGGTAGATTTAAAGTGTGGAATTAGGCACCAAATCCAAAACCATTCCTGGTTACCAGGCACAGAGACATCGTAGCACTTACAGATGGCTTTAATGCTTGGGCTTTCTTAGGCAGGGTTTCTAAAGCTAACTGCAACCAACCACAAATCTTTCATCAGAGGCATCAAAGCCCCAGCAAGCCTCAAGGGATTTCAAAAACCACCATGAACGGATTTCAGCTGCCTGCTTCCTCTGAAGAACTTGCTAAGATTTTGCCACTGAGGGATGCTTTTAGTGAATGCAGGACAATTCAGAACAAACTTGAAACCATCTGGACTTTCAGAGGCCTTTCTTAGGCAGAGATTTGTTTGCAGTGTGCTTGTCTCCATCACCAATAAGCCGTATATCCAAGAGGACTGCAGAGTCTAAAAGTGCTCTCCAATGGCTGGAGAACTGCCTGATGCTGGCCTGAAATCTCCATTTGTTCCATGCTGGAGTTTTGGAGACCTTTGTGGGGTTTTCGTTTTCACAGTGGGGCCATGCAGTGTGATAGCGTGGAAATGAATTCTGCAGATCTGGAGTGACAGACACACAGTCTGGAGACAAAGCAGAGTAGTTCTGCAGAAACTGAATAGACTAAAAGTGGGTCCACAAAGCAACAAATTCTATAAAGGTAAAACCACATCATATGAAAATAAAAACCAATTCAATAATGACCAATTGCTGTTAAACTACTGAGGCTTCTCCTTGTGCTGCAGGACTAGAAGCCTGGGCACTTACTCTACAGTCATCTGAGATACTACGTCGAAGGTGGTGAAGCCAGCACTGGCAAAGCTCTCCTTGTACTGGCTCATCTTGATGGCATCCAGCCATTCATCCACAGTGTTGAAGCTGGTATAATCCGGGATTGTGCGGTCAAGTAGGGGGAGGTTCATCCTGAAATACAGAAATGGGGAATGAGCAGAACAAACAGCGGCAGGCACGTGCATTCCCGCACCCTCCATCAGCTGGAGGGACCTGGACCAGCATCGTTCGTAGTGCCTGCACCGCAGCATATTAAGAAGCACCACCCAGAAGGCACTCTGTTCAACTAGGGGAAGGATTGTATAGAGCATCGGGGAAGTCCTTCTGGATCAGTTTGTATGGGAGAGGTAGGAGCCATCAAAGATGATGGGATGCAGCTCTCAAATCCTGGCTGCACAAGGGAAGAAAGCAGATTCTCATAACGGGGCCAGTGCTTCCCACAAGCTGGTGTATCCCCACCCAGTCCAGGGAAACATTGTGCTGCCTGACAAGGCTTTATTTGCCTCCACTGCATGCGTGATGGGACTGCCAAAGCAACCACACACATCCATCGTGTGCACATGAAACCAAGGTGCCCTGCAGCGTACATTGTCCTTTCAACGAGCTGTCTGTGTTCACCAGATCTAACCTGTCCAAGGAGAAGGACCAGAGTGACCTTGACATCTTCTAATGCCCTTCCTATAAAGGGCCAAATGACACAGACCAAAACCAGCCAGCCTAGAGAGGTGCAAGGATGGTGCCCACCAGGACCCGAAGGACAGCAGATCTGCCACCAGAAGCCAAAGGACAAGAGGAAGACAGGGGTACCTACCCAGAGGAAAGAGGTGCCATGGCTTTCAGGCTGTTGGGATTTCGGATCATTTTATCTAAGGTGTTGACAATTTGCCCAAATTTGGGTCTGTGGTTTCGATCCTTCTGCCAACAGTCAAGCATTAGCTGGTGCAGGGCATTTGGGCAATCCATAGGTGGTGGCAGCCGATAGTCCTGCTCGATAGCATTTATCACCTGTGAGAGGAGAAAAAGAGATCAATACAGTGGCAATAAAAGCTATTTAATTCACAATGTTCCTTTTCATGGATCCTGAGGGCGACTGGCATGGCCAACCATAAGGCAGCGGGATGGCCCTGCCTACACGTATTGCTGCCTATCATCTTAGCCACTGATTCTTGTAGCAACGCACTCTTCCAACTCTCAGCCCTTTGCACATCATGTTGTCCTGAGAGATGACAACAGCCTTGCTCAGCTGACATGCAGCCTTGCTCACTACTTGTGGCGAGCCATTGCCATCAGTCTCCTCATCTGGGGAAAGACAGCATCCCTGGTACATCAGCAAGGATGTGTGAGCCTGCAGCTCCAGGCATGAGAAGGGTTCATGTTTTCAGACAGGTACGCAGCACAACCTAATAGCTCACTGGGAGGAGAGCATCCCCATCCAGTGAAGGGTCTGCTCAGACCGGGGAAGCTGCCCCTGTGCTTCCTTCCCCCAGCACTGCTTTCTATTCCTGCCAACAACCCAGCCCTTCCAGGCAAGTGTCGTGCCGCAGGACGGGGCTGGGTGTGCTTGACCAGCAGTAGGGGCTGGACCTCCCCCAGTCCTGGGCACATGCACACAGTGGGGGGGACCTCCTTCCCCTCTCCCTGCCCTGGCTGGACGTGACAGTGCCCCACCAGGCCTGCGAAGGTCCCACTGGAGGCATCCCCAGTGTGCTTTGTGCAGCTCCTGGCTCCCATTCAGGGATTCTCCCAAGAGGCGCAAGCTGTCCCCTCTCCCAGCTCTCTGGATGGCAGATCTACCCGAGACAGAGGGAGGGGAAGTACAGGGGGAGTGGGGCTGGGGAGGGTCATCACGCAAGCATCAGGGGCTCCTCTCTGGCATGGACCAAATGTTCTCCTGACAAGCCGCCCACCTTGCTGCCAGCAGACACATCCCACGAGGGGGCACAGGCTGCGCTCTCTGTCCCCGCTCCCTCCCCCCCAGCCTCTTCAGGCACTCACACCCCAGGGTCAGGAGGCTAATCTGCAGCCAACATCCACCACGAGCTCATTCGCAGGCAGGACCAGCTGCAATTAAGTGGTGACAGCTTCTGTGGTGCAATGTCCTGTGGCAGAAGAACGGGAAGAAAAGGCTGGGGAAAGGCGCCACGCAGCAGGCTGTGCTGAGGAGATGGGTACGGGCTCTGCCATCCCTGCCGTCTGGATTGGCTCTGCTGCAGCAGAGAGGCTGCAGCAGGAGAAACCACTAAGGTCTATGGGAGGAGGACAAGGGAGGGCTACACATACAGAGGGATGCTGAGGCAGGGAGAAGGGCACCTCTGAAACAAGCTGGAAGCCAGGCAGATGCTGTAACATGCAGATTTGCAAGACCCAAGCTTGCAGCAGAGGGCAAGGACAAGCCTTCTGCACTCCAAGGGTCTACCCAGGACCTTGGTATTAAATCCTGAGGGTTCACAACGTGAAGACCTCAGGAGGAAGGGCAGCTCTTGAGGGACAATGTTCCAAGAGACCTGGGAGCCCCACACCAAAGGGGTCTTCTGGACACACTCATGCAGGTGTAGCACTCTGCATTGCCACTGGGCAGATGGGCTTTGCCCACCCAGGTTAAGAGAAACAGGGAGAATGGCATTGCTATGGTGAAGGTGTGGACTGCAGCCATGGGTCATCCTTGCATGGAGGCAAGGACTCAGAGAAGCTGCCTGGGTCCCAGGGAGCAAGGAGTGCACATAACAGTTCCACCTGAATTAGAGAAGAGTCATAAAGTATTTAAAGTTAAGTATGTTCTGAAATACCTTGTGGTTTTAGGTCCTAGCTGTGTGCAAGTTGCTTGGCTTCTTACACATCACAGTCCGAGCTTGCCATGGGAGATTTAATGACCATCTAGTGGAAGATGTCCTTGACCATGGCAGGGGGGTTGATGATCTTTAAAGGACCCTTCCAACCCAAACCATTCTATGACTCTATAACAGACTTTCACCAAATGCCCATGGTCTCTTGCAGATGAAGACCTGCCTGCAGCTCCAGGAGCTCTCAGGTCAGTGGTGGCATTTCCTTTTCCACCCACCTGCTCCCTTTCCTCCTGGGCATCTCTCTAACAGCACTGAGGGTGCTCACACTAACCCTGTCCTACTGTAGTGGGTGTTGTACGGTCTCTACCCTCTGCCACAGCAGCACAACAGGACTAGGACAAAAGAAAAAGTTATCCCCATTACTTCTTCCAAAGGTGTTGACCTTGGACACACCTCCCAGGACAGAAGGCTCCAGACATGCCACACACTGGGTCTAGCTGTAGCCATGCTTTGGCCATGCAATGCCCCCAGTTCCAGTGTTTCTGCTCCTTGTTTCTTAACAACTTACATCTTGATTGGTCATATCCCAGTAAGGCCGCTCGCCATAGGACATCACCTCCCACATGACTATTCCATAGCTCCATACATCACTGGCCGATGTGAATTTTCGGTACTGAATTGCCTCAGGTGCTGTCCACCGTATTGGGATTTTCCCACCCTGCAGGAAAAAACAGAGGGGATGGTAACAGAAAGAGCAAGAGTAGTTGAAAAAGATGAGTGTCCAAAATATTTGCCTCCAATATGCTGGTAAAATCCTAGAAGGAAGGGACCACAGGACTATCTCTAACTCTAGATCAAGGTGGCTGTGGCTTGTCTAGCCAGGTCCAGGAAACCTTCAAGGATGGTGATTTCCCCCATTTGTCTGGTGACCTGTGCCAGGGCTGTACCACCCTCTTGGGAAAGAAGCTTTTCCTGTTCACCCTGAACCTCCCAAGACATGGTTTTATCTATTGCCCCATCTGGTACCACTGCAAAGAGTTTGGCTCTGTCTTCTTCATAACTGCCCTTCAAGTCCTGTAGGTCACTTGTAGGTGTCCCCTCAGCCTCCTCTTTGTCATTAAACAAGCGCACATCCTTCCACATGCCTACTGCTACAGCAATCTTAGGCATGACAAAATGCCCATTGCGCTAGTAGGGTCTTCTGTAGAAAACTGAATGGCTATGAATGAATGGCTATGAAAACCCTATTTTTCTAATCCAAACCAATCCCCTCTGAATGTCCCTCCATCCTCTGGCTGTCACCTAGCTATTTCCAGAGCAGAACAAAAGAAAGTAGAACACCTTCCTCTTCAGCTTTCTACATCTGTAGACTCTTTGAAGTCAGTGATATATCATCCTCTTGAGCTGAAGTCCTCGTGTGTCAGTTGGTTTGTTGATATATACATGATCGAGCAGTCTTTGATCCTGCCCGTTTCTGGAGACAGAGGCGGAGTGAACATCTTCTTTAGAATAGCATGCTTGGTCACTGCTGGGAAATGGGATGGACTGGGTGGGCACTGGGGTCTTCTGTGATCCTGCTGGGCAACAGCAGCTCTGGAGAAATCAGAAGGACTCTCCACTCCCACAGAGTTATGCACAGAAGTGTACGAGAGTGGCATGGCATGGGGCCACAGGGATTGCAATGCTCTGCTCAAGCCCTTGCAGCCTCTTGATTTTCCATGAGGGTCTTTGAACTTGAACCATTCACAACTCAAGGGACCTTCTGAAGAGAAAATCTTCCCCTGTGCTGGAAAATAACCAAAATTGCCTGCGTTTTGTGGCTGTGAGAAGATTAAGGATTATGAAAGGTCTCCTAGGACTTAATAGGACTCAAACCCTATGCATGCTAGAATAATGAAAAAACCCATAATGTTCCTTAATCTTCTCACAGCCACAAGCCTCAGACAAAATACTTCGTTTTCCACAGTGGGAGAGACCAAGAATTCCATACCAAACATGATGTCCTCTCCATCAGGCATCCTCTTAACAGAGCTCTTGACAAGCAGTGGATTTAGAAGTTCGCTAAAAAAGAAGTCCTAAAGTAGAAATCAGAGACTGGGTATATTTGGAGGATCCTCATGGGAACTTAATTCAGTGAGACCTCCCACCTCCCTGGTTATCTGACCCAGAGCTTCCCCACCCTCTTGGAGAAGGAGATTTTCCTAAGGTCCAGCATGAATCTCCCAAGACATAGCTTGTGGCTGTTGCCCATCCATGGACACGAGGTCTCAGGGATAATTATAATAAAAACCACCCATGCATCTTGGGATGTTTGAGGATGGTGCATTTTGAAGAGGAAGATACTTTTACTTTGGTACTCTGTTATAGAGGGTGCACATATTCTGTCATTATAGATAATTCATGTCCTGCTATGGCGCCCACAGTTCAAGAAGAACAAATTAGAGATGACAGAGAGGAAAGCTACAGGCACGGTAACAGGAATAGCAAAGAGCAGCAAACACCAGAAGCTCCCGTGTATTTAGCTTAACAAAGGGAAAGGTAATTGGATGTAAGGATCATGCTGTGAAAAACAAATGTGGCTAGTGTTTCTCAAAGCCATAGGATGACTGTGAGGATCGAATAGTTGGTGTTTGAAGCTGCACAAGTTCAGATGAGAATAAAAGCACATGTTTTTAGGTGTTTGTTAGGTATTCAATCACTGTTACAATTCACTAAGAGCTGTGCCAGACATCTCATCACTGGCAGCTTCAAAAGATCTGGAAGAGATGATTTCCTGTAGATCACGCACCAGCTCTATCAACACTCATTTCCAAGAAGTCCTGCCACAGGCACTGTACGTAGGCGCTGATCCCGCAGCATTATTGTAGAACGAAGATGTACGCCTTTGCACACAATGGCATTTGTGAGAACTCCCAGCTGCAATCTTCCTGACCAAGAACAAAGTCTCCAAATCATCCTTCGGTCCCTGTGCGCATTCTGTAGCCTGAGACAGGCCACGGGTCCTCAGTGGTGCTTGTGTCACTGGCACCGTGGCCTTCCTGGGAAGCTGTGACCATGAAGCCATTTCTGGGAATGGTTCTCTGTCTAATTCAGAAGATCAGTATCTAGTACTGCAGGACTTCATCCACAAGGCATCCACACTTCAGTCTGTCATTCACGGGGCTGAGCCTGTGACATGACATGAGAAAGGATCGCAGCCTCCTGGACAGCAGGGCAGCACAACTGGACAGTGATGGTAACCCCCCTGCCCCAGGCTTGCTGCTCTGGCAACAAATCTGTTAGGGCAGCATCTCAGAGGACCCCCAGCTGCTCCATGCTGGATGGGTATCATGCATCATCTCAACTATGGGCTTTACCAGGGACATGTGCATGTTTGCAGACATGTTCGGAAGAGGCTCAGTTATCCACAGAAAGGACTATATGGCCCATCAACAGCCCCTGGACAACTGGACAGGACCTTGCAAGAGAAAATCTTCCTTGGTTCATTTCATTGGCCTTTCCCATCTGGCACCTTATTTCCATTGCTGGGACCCTGAAAAAGCCCTCCCCACATCAAGGGGAGATCACCCCCTTTCCCTCTCTCTCCCTGACTCCTTCCTTCACCACCCATCCCTCCCCCTCTGGAAAAGCAGCTTTACCAGTGCACTGGTGTAGGTGGGATCAGAGGTGTCATCCTCCAGAAAACGGGAGAGGCCGAAGTCGGACACTTTGCAGACCAGGTTGCTGTTCACCAGGATGTTGCGGGCAGCCAGGTCCCGGTGCACATAGTTCATATCGGCCAGATACTTCATGCCAGCCGCAATGCCCCGCAACATGCCCACCAGCTGGATTACTGTGAACTGCCCGTCGTTTTGCTTAGGGGAAGAGAGGGGAAGAGTCCACATGAGAGGAGCAAATTACCAGTCTGCCATGGTCTGGCAAACAGCCAGCAGCCTCTGTCTACACTGCATGTCAAGACACAGCTATGCCAGGAGTACATTAAGTTCCCTCTCAGAACCAAAGGGTGGGGAGTGAACTGCTCACAGGGACTGGACGTCACCCTCGCACTATGGGCATCACTACCAGTGTCATCCAAAGGTGGCAGATCTGCCACACCTGGCACAGGAGGATCAGAAGGGGCAATCTATTCCTATTAAGCAGGTTATCTCCCTTCAATGCAGTGAATTACTCATTTCAAACTCAGACCTATAAATATTTAGACAGAGCAGCTGGAGGTGAAGTCCTGACGTGTTAAAGCTAGTCAGACCGTCCCTCCATGTCCACGGAGGCAGTCTGTAAATGCGCCTGTGGGCACGTGTACAGGCAGGCACAGCCTTTTGCCCATATGAGTGGACATGCACACCTAACAGATGACAGCCTTGACGCCACCTCCACCTCTGCTCCTGAGACACAGACCCCTGGACCACACAGCAGCTGCCCCAGTGCCCGGGGATGCTGGGCAGTGAGAGGCACTGCCATACTGGCACAGGGGAGGAAGCCTTCCCCTCCAGTCCTCCTCAGGCCCAACACAGTCCCTGGGACTTCATCCTCCTGGGACCTCATACCCGCAAGAAGGAGTCCAGTGAGCCATTCTCCATGAACTCAGTAATGATCATGACTGGTGAACTCTTGGTCACCACCCCCTCTAGGTGGATGACGTTGGGGTGGTCGAACTGCCCCATGATGCTGGCTTCGCTCAAGAAGTCCCGTCTCTGCTTCTCTGTGTAACCAGACTTCAGGGTCTTGATGGCCACAAAGATCTCTCTTTTGCCAGGAAGCTTGAGATGCCCACTGCACACCTCACCAAACTCCCCTGTGAACAGAGGGAAACAGGTAGGTCTTGTAGCCTCCCAGACTTTCTCCCCAGGGGACCCTGCTCCCACTGGCTCCAGCTGTGCCCACCCCACACATCCCCGAGTTGACCACCCACCATCTGCTCTGTGCTTCCTCCCTCACTCCATGCCCAAGACCTCCTTCAGGTGGACCCATCCTTGGTGAAGAGCACTGGAGATGAGGAGTGCATGTCCATGTACATGGGAACTCCTTGTCTGCAGCACTGGATGGACTTGCTCCTCCAGCGCTGGACCACCTTGCTCATGCTAGTCCAGACTGGGGCTAAGTGCAAGACCTTACTGACACCAGTCTGAGACTACAAAGGAGACTGTGCTGCTGAGGGCCAGCCAGACATGCACAGTTCACCTACCTGCCCCAATCACCTGCTCGATTTTGACACAAGAGATATCGATTTCTTTTGCAAATTCCCTGACAGCCTCGTTGGGGTCTTCATAGGTGAATGGATCAATATAAATCTTCATCCCTGGAGTCACTGCATAAAGGTGAGGGAGAGAGTCAGACAGACAGATGCAAATGGAACGACTGACAGCTGGCATCAAGGAAAAGAGAAACCTGGTTGTGTGGGGTTTTTACCTCAGCAAGTCGCATAATCAAGGGCACAAAGCAGACACAGCAGGGCAGTTTGCGGAAGAACATGCAGAGCCATGTTCGCACAGGATTGTTAAAGCTGGATTCTAATGAACATTGGCCTATAAGTCATTGCTGGGGCCCTGGAGGGCTGCGCTATCAGCTAGGAATGCAAACTGTGACCATAGAGAAGCAGACATCCTCTGGAGCAGGATCCAGCTTTAGCAGATACAGAGGAAAGCAAGAGAACCATTGGCTCTTGGGAGATGGTGCATAGGCACACCAATGTCATGCTGTGCTCATCGTGCTGCAGCGCTGGAAGAGGAGCAGTTGTAGGGGCTGCAGCTCTGCCCCGCTGGCCTCCTCGGCATGCTGCTTCCACCTCCGCACTGCATCCCATCAGCATCATGGGGGAGTGGAGGTGGACACCTGGGCTCAGCACTCAAGACAGGAGATGGTGAAGGTCTGCCCTGGGATGTAAAGTGAGGCACAGGCTGCTCTTGATTCTCTTCATGGAGATTGGTAGGGGAGGCAGCTCTAGGTGCTTGGTACACAGCCACCAAGCCAGCCTGACTCCTCCTTGGGGTGTCTGTGACCCTTCCAGGGGCAGTGCAAGTAGGACAGACAGTCCAGTCCACCCCCTGTTCTCCTGACAGGTAACCCTGCCTGAGCCTGGGTTCCCTCTTGATAGCCTCAACACTGCTGGGCAGGCCAGAAGGCACAGCAACATGCTTATGTGAAAGGCAGTGGGACCTGGTGAGGCTGGAGTGCTGATGCCACATCACATCCTACCTACACCGTGGGACAGCTCTTACCTGCAGTCCTCCCCTCTCTACACTCATTTTTTTGGCCTCTGGCTTGCTCCAAAAGTGGGGGTATTTCGAGAGCAGAGCTGACAGCTCACTAAATGAGGAGCCCAACACAGAACCAGAGGCACGACCCCCAGCTCCATGTGAGGGATGCTGGTAGGATTCAGAGGTGCAAGGCTCCCAGCATCCCCACACCTTGGCGCTTTGCTAACCATAAGCTGCAGCCTCTCCACAGCAGTCGCTGCCGGGGTGCTGAGCAGGGGCTGTGCCTTGGACCGGTGTCTTGGGTGATGATGTGGCTAAAAGGCACCCCAGGCCCGTTATCAGTTCATCTGCATCCAGTGGCATCAAGCCCATTCCAACAGTCGCGCAGGCACAGCTATTAATGCCAGCCCAGCCCGAAGCTGTCACGTTCCGCACCAGACCCCGGGAGGAAGTGTGAATGCATGTTTACACATGTGGCATGGACTGACAAACAACTGAGAGCCGCATTTACATAATCCTTCTGGAAGGGCGTCATTTTTCCTGGGAAGCTATGGCAACGCAGCCAGCACGCTGCTGCTCTGGCACAGGGCTGCGGTTCAGTGCCCTGCCCTTTGGGAAATGTCCCCCAGGTAAATGCAGAAGCGATAGCGAGTCCTGTGCTGAAACACTACTGATGTTTTCCATTTCCTGAACAAGGCCCAGGTCTGTACAAGGTGTAAAAAGGACGGAAATCCTGAAGCTGCAAGTACAACACGAGGCAAATAACAACTGAAATTTGAAGCAAGTGGGATCATAGCAACAGGCCTCTAGCGAGGGAGGAGAAAGGTGTTCGGAGGGCAGGGGTTAATGAGGGGAAGGAGGAGGCACAGGGTGATGCAGGGTGCATGGTGGGGTCTCAAGCAGGAAGG